TCCTCCTTATTATTAACCACAAAATTACTGCTAATAACCCATTCATAACCTTCAAAACTCATATCAGAAGTCATCCTGGGGGATTTTGTTGGCAAATATAGCCCCTTTTTTTCGCCTCTTCTTTTTTTTGGTTTTAATTTTTTTTATTGCGGACTTGTTATCGTTCAGCATGTTCCGTAATACTTTCATAAATCGTCTCCAATTCTCCAGAATGGTGAAATAATGGCTCTTGTCGGCCACCCGCATTTTACTGTGCTGTAAAAATAATGAAAGTCATATTGCGCTGCGGTTACAGATCTGCACAGGCAAACGGCACAAGTTTGAAGGAGGTCCCGAGATTTTTTCCTTTTCTTTTTTTTCTAAATTGCTATGAATTTTCATTTTTGAGACAGTTTTTGGAGAGCTGCTTTGCTGTGTGCACGCTTTTTTGGAGCAAAGCCGAGTGTAAACGTAAGGAGATGTTTAGCAAGAGTTGGAATAATTATATTTGTACTTATCAATTCCATATTTCCCGAGCTGAGCCTCCAATGGGGAGAAAAAACAGAAGAAGTAGGTAATTCAGTTCAGTTTTCACGAGATTCAGTTTGTGATTCCTGAAGCCGAAATAACTAAAAGCCGTGAGAGACAAATACAGTGGTCATAGGGATACACTAATAAATGATCTCAACTTTTTATTTGTTTTTAAATTTTTTAAAAACTCCTTCTAAATAAGTCTTCTAAATTAAGTAAACAATTAAATGAAGGCTTGCACAAATAAAGATCTTTAATGCAATCATTCGCTGAACTCCCTGTGTGGGAGACGGTACTGCCTCATCTTTAGAGAATCTGCCTCATCTTTACAGAAACTTTACTGAGCGGTGTTTCCTCTTTTATGCACGTATTTATTTATTTATTATATCATTAACTTGTCCGAATAAGATGAACACCCGGAGATCGTTACGCTTTCTTCGTGGGGGACCTTATATACTTTCATGATAAGGGAACCGAAGTGTTGCATATAGTTTACTGCAATATGGCACAAGAAATTAGATATTTAAATAATATTTAACATATTAAAAAACATAGAAGTGGGAAAAATGATTTAAAAATAAAGGTGCTGCATATCACACTAAATAAATTTAAGTGGCAACATATATAAATAAATATAAATATTAATGTAATACAGCCTAAAATAATAGCAGTAGTAGACACAATAGGCTACCTGCGGTTAAAATAAATAAATTGAGTGACCTGACCCGGTGAAGGTGTATTTGATTTCCTCACCCTTTCTGCCCCCGTGTGGTGCAGTGACTCTTGTGTTTATGCTGCAAACAACAGACATAAACTCTTGGACAACTTCAGTGCACACAGGAAAACACGAAAGACGTCAAAGTCGAATATTTTATGATTCTTTTATTTAGCAGTAGAAGAGGAGGGGACACAATTTGTTTGGATCAATTTATTTTGCGCCAGTCACATTTTGCCACAGATGTGTCAAATCTACAGTCTGGGTTCTGAGGTAACTGTTTCTGAGGTAATTGCTGCTGAGGTAACTGTGTTGGTGAACGCCACACAGATATGGGAGTTGTGCAGAATTCGGAACATAATTGTAAAGTCCTGTTTTTCTTCTTCTTCTTCTCCTTCTTCTTCTTTTGATGTCAATTTACCCCAGCAAAGAGCCTGAAGAAACAGAACTCTTCTAAAGTATACTCTGATAAACTATCCCCGTGTTTGTTTCAGGCAATAGTTTGCATTTCCTCTGCTAACATTTACAGGGCATATACAGTGAGAACCAAGCACACGATGAGTGGTATGTGTGTGTTCTGTGCCGAATATAAATGTGTGTTTCCAAAACCTTCGAGCCCTCAGACGGAGGGCTGTCCATAAATCTCAATCTGAATGAGGTTTTCTTCCAGGGAGCCTCGTCTTAGTGGAGCTTGTGATTTCAAACATAATCATTATGTGAAAGCTCCACGATAACACATGTGCCATAAGCCCAGCTGTACTTATTTTGCTGAGGAATGAAGCGCCACAGATACTGGGGGTGTCAGGGGTGTGGGGGTTATTTCACAGGACATGATCAAATCAATCGCTTTAACGAATCATCTAATGGATCAGTGAGGAAAAGAAAAATCAAAGACAGATACAACACTCCTGATGTTTCTGGAGTTTCTGGAGAGGTTTATTCTCGGCTGCATTTGCCAGAGGAAGGGTTGACGTCTTGGTACGCAGGTGGATATGAACAGGTGGAGCAGGTCTCATCACTGCTCCCCTTTTCGTCTCTTGTCTTCTGTGGGCTATGAGAGAGGGGAAAAGTGAGTGTGTGTGTGTGTGTGTGTGGGGGGGGAGGGGGGGGGGTAAAATGTTTACAGGCCCAAATGATGACGCTCAAAGAAAAACCTCAGCACTTTCTTTAGCTTGTCCCTTGATCGTTCCTCTGTTTGACATTAAAGTTGGGGGTTCATATGAGCAAGGCAACACTTTATGGTTTTCCTAGGTTAAATGTATTTTGCCTGCTGTCTTTTTTTTTATTTGACTAAATTGCTTTTCTGGAAGCCTGCTGGGAGTAATTGTTCTAAAACAATGAAAGAAAGTGAAAACTTGTAACTTCCCTGCAAGCCTTAACCTTCAGGCGACCTTTCGGGAATGGAAGGTCACCTGGTGGTTACTGCATGCTGCTGGGATCCTGCAGTTACTTTTCTTTTTCTTAAAAAAAAATGTATGACATATGTATTTTTAAACTGGGCAAATATGCTGACCTAAAAATTTTCACATGACAAAATTACCCATGCATGCTGTAAAAGTGTCTTTTTATCGGATGGGGCAGCAGGACGGTTATATTAAAGGATGAGTAGTTATTTGGGGGTTTAGTTGTATTTGAAGAGTTTCAGTCAGGTTTCAGAGCTCATCACAGCACAGAAACAGCTTTAGTGAAGGTTACAAATGATCTTCTTACGGCCTCTGACAGTGGACTCATCTCTGTGCTTGTCCTGCTAGACCTTAGTGCAGCGTTCGATACTGTCGACCATAATATCCTATTAGAGCGATTAGAACATGCTGTAGGTATTACAGGTACTACGCTGCAGTGGTTTGTATCATATCTATCTAATAGACTCCAATTTGTTCATGTAAATGGAGAGTCCTCTTCACACACTGAGGTTAATTATGGAGTTCCACAGGGTTCAGTGCTAGGACCAATTCTGTTTACATTATACATGCTTCCCT